ATAACAAATATAAGATTAGGAGATAGAACTTATATATTTCAATAAGTACACATATTTTTTATAATTGCGTGATTTTTAAACCATCATCCACAAATATTAGAAATTTGCTTCATAAATAGTCTGTATACAAACAGTAGACTTAGATTTGTAAGTCAATAGATGAATTTATACACTAATGTGATAAGTTATTAGTCACGCTGTTCTTTCGCATATCTCTTACCTAGTCATAAGATCCTCAATTGGTTTCGGGCATCCTTCTATTAAAGGAGGCCTTTGTCCTACATGAACAGCCCACATTATCCTATAGGCTGAAGCACCAATATCATCAAAGGGTTTTTTGCGTGTTAAAACCTCCCACAAAATGATACCCCAACTAAATACATCGCACTTCTCTGTATACCTAGATCCTTCAAACACTTCTGGTGCCATCCACGCGGCCGAGCCTTTATTATTAGTCATATATGTGTTTAAGTCACAGGCTGTGCCGAAGTCACAGATTTTAAGCATCTGTCCACCCATAACTAACAACAGATTGGGTGGCTTTAGGTCTCTGTACAAAATCAAATACAAATTCATCAAATTTACTTCTCAATTCAGTTTCTCGAACATGAAAGGACATCAAGAGCGCATTAACGTTATATTTACCTGTGTATCAGCGGTTTGGGCTTCATATTGTGAAGATAGGCGACACCACGCGCGCACTGGAGAGTCCAACTCATAGCGTGACTGGTAGTGTAATGTGGTTGAGGATTGCAATGTAGCACTGCACGTATAAACGTAAAATCTTAATACGATTTATTCAGTTTGCGAAATTAGATGAGACAATTTCTTCCGAGGGGCATTACCATTATATAACGATCCACCTTCGGCGTATTCCATCACCAGGCATACCGGATTCTTGGTACACGCCCCATATAATTTAACAATATTAGGATGGGCGACTCGGGACAGTTGTCGAACTTCCACAGTGAAGGCTTTTCTCTCCCCTTCCGAATTTATGTGTTTCACGGCGACATCCTGCCCTCTCCACTTTCCTTTCCACACAACTCCAAAGGAACCCTTGCCAACTACCTACGATCGAATAAAGACCAACGATAATTCAGCGAAATACAAACACTCTTAGGGCCTGAGCAG